TTCCGGAATTCCTAACATTCCGGAACTATGGCGCATTCCGAACATTCGGTAACATTCGCGAATTCCGGAATTCAAAACATTCCGGAACCTTGGCGCATTCCGAACATTCTGAACATTCCGATTCCGGAATTCCGAAAATTCCGGAACTATGGCCATTCCAAACATTCTGAACATTCCGATTCGAATTCGAACATTCCGATTCCGGAATTCCAACATTCCGGAACTATGGCATTCCGGAATTCCGAACATTCCGGAACCTTGGTGCATTGAACATTCCGGAACCTTTGCGCATTCCGAACATTCCGATTCCGGAATTCCTAACATTCCGGAACTATGGCGCATTCCGAACATTCCGAACATTCAGATTCCGAACATTCCGGAACTATGGCGCATTCTGGAATTCCGGAACGTTGTCGCATTCCGAACATTCCGAACATTCCGATTCTGGAATTCCGAACATTGTCCGTGTTGCTCGGCGACAGCCCCAAAACATCACTGCTCTCGAGAAGATCTGCATGGAGGAATGGGCCAAAATACCAGCTACTGTGTGTGCAAACCTGGTAAAGACCTATAGTAAACGTTTGACCTCTGTTATTGCCAACAAAGGTTATGTTACAAAGTATTGAGTTGTATTTTTGTTATTGACCAAATACTTATTTTCCACCCTGATTTACGAATAAATTCTTTACAAATCCTACCATGTGGATTCATGGATTTTTTTTTCACATTCTGTCTCTCACAGTTGAAGTGTACCTCTGGTGCAAATTACTGACCTCTGTCATCATTTTAGTGGGGGAACTTGCACAATCGGTGGCTGACTAAATACTTTTTTGCCCCACTGTATCTCCCCCCACCACTTCCCCTGCAAGTGGCAGACACCCTCAGACATCGGTGCATTGGTGGTTCTTTGTGTCCGGGGATGGGCGTCCAGGTACACACCGCTCACTCCTTGGTGGCTGCTTATCGGGGCCTGGAGCCTGGGGCTCGCTCGGGCCACTTCGCGCCTTGAGGCGACTTTTGTTGTGATTTGGCGCTATATAAATAAAATTGAATTGAATTGAATTGAATTGAATTGAATTGAATTGAGGGTGGGGTGCCCTCGGCCTCTCGGCCTGGGGCTCGGTCACTCTGGCACAGCTGGCTGCCGGCGGAGCTCACGGGCACGTCACTGCAACCCCCCCTGGCTTCTGCTCCGCGGCTGCTGAGTGAGCCCTCATCTGGGACTCTCCTCAGCTCTTTCTGGGACAGTGGCGCGGCTGCCCCTCTGTTGGTCTTCCTTGGTCTCTTGTGTTCTGGGGGCCTCTGGATGTCTGGAGTTTTGATCTCCTCCATACCTGCTTCATGCCCTGGAGGACGGGGCTGTGGCCCCCCCACACCCTCTAGCAGATCATTACATGAAGGAACCTTTTAAAAACAAGCGCGTCCATGCTCACAGGTGTACACACGGGTGCTCACACACACAAACTACACCCTCTGTCAGTGCGCCCCAGGGCAGCTGTGGCTACAATGTAGCTTGCCATCGCCAGTGTGTGAATGTGTGTGTGAATGGGTGAATGACTGAATGTAGTGTGAAGCGCTTTGGGGTCCTTAGGGACTAGAAAAGCGCTATACAAATGCAGGCCATTTACCATTTACCATTTTTGGCTCCTACCTCAAAGCGCACTGTGCGCTGTCGATATTACGTGCACAATAATGTTTAACATTTAGTATTTACAGTTATATTCCCATATATCATCGTGATGTTGTTTATTATGTTGCTCTCGTTTTGTTCTGCTTGTTTTCTTTTTTCTTTCTCAACAGGTGATCCAGGTGATTGATATATGTATTTTTTTTGTCTGCTTATTTAGTTGGTTTTTGTTTTTTTGCCCTTTATCCCCATCCCTCTTCTCCGCTGTTTTTTCCCCCTCTTCCTTTCTCCCTTTTCTTTTCCTCATTCAAGTCTGTCCCGTATCTAGCAAGTGAAAATAAAAAATAAATAAAATAAACAATAAAAGGTGAATCAAATAGACCATTACGGCAAGGCTGGGATGGTCAATTTGGTAAAGTAAATCCGTTGGGCATCTTTCTTCGCCTTTAGACAATAATTCTGATGGCAAAAGAACCAAACGGGACAGGCAAAAAAAAAAAAAAAAAAAAAATAAAAATAAAAAAGAAGATGAGTGGCTGACTGAATGGTGAAACACTGGAACCTGAACTCATGACAAAGTTAATGGCTAAACAGCGGACTGACAGCACACACTCACTACAGATAAATGGAAACCACCTTAGTTGGGATTGTGTATTTGGACTGGGAGGGGTACGAAAACAGAAATCGGTTGAATGCAGTCTGCTATGTACTGACATCTAGTGTTGAGATTTTGCACACTGTAACTTTAATCTTGATTAATATTCACAATAAAAATATTAATCAAACATTTTGAAGTCTGTATGTGTTTCATAGTGTCTAACTGTTCTGGTACATTTAAACCTAACAATTACTACATGATGGAAACACGTCATGTTATCTCTTTTAATAAAGTTTGTGTATGTATACACAGGTCATGCTGATATTGAACAAAAAACACAAAGATCAGATGTTAATCAGATTTATTTGCTCTCTTTCCTTCTTAAACATGTTTTTAATGTTAGTTATGATTCAGAATTGGTGACTGAAGACTCCACATGCCGCCATGACCACCCCGTTTCCCTGAATGTAAAAAGCTTCGCAATTTAACATCACAAAGGTCTTTAGATTCCACACTGCAGATCGGTCCAATCTGATGAAATCCCTTGGAGGAGTTCGTCAAAGTACGGTGCCTGAAAAGAGGGGAAAATGTGCCAAAATTACACATTAATTTTAAAATGGCTGACTTCCTGTTGGATTTGGGATATTGCTCCAAGAGACTTTTTTGTACATCTTGATATCTCCATAAGCCTACCAGGTTTCAGACTTCATAGATAACACAGAGCAGGTGTGTTTAAATTTCAAGCTTCTTTAAACTTTCCAAGCCCCTCAAAAGCCACTTCATCTTTCATGGTGAACCGCGTTGCCACCAGGGTGCGCCGTTCAGTTTAAAGTCACAATTTTGCACTGAAGCATCATGAGGGACTGATGGTGATATTCACCGCTTTTGAGGTGGCCACGATGAACCTGTGAAAATCAGTACAACAAATTAAAGCCATGACATTTCCTGTTGCCACTAGGTGGCGCTGTCCGTATTTCCGACAATGGGCACATCAATCTGTTCAGGGCGGGTCTGACATCATGCCTGTAAAGTCTGGTACTGATCAGACTGGATTTCATTGAGTTATACTAATTTGTTTCTTCATGGCGTGACATCAAAGTTCGCCATGCTGCTGGGGTCACACCCTTTCGCGAAAACTCACAGTTTTCACTGTAACCCAAGACCAACTCCTTAAGGCTTTCCTGGAGAAATTTGAGGCTGCAGATGTCACCCATCACTATACTGTACCCCAAAGTGTAAAACATGACATTTCCTGTTCCCACTAGGTGGCGCTGTCCTTGATGTCAAATATGGCAGTTGAAATATGTTCAGGGCTGGAGCCTTATCATATGTGTGCTCTTTGGTCCAGATCGGACAATGTATGACAGAATGAGAGGCAATAAGATTTTCATGGCGAGTCATCGAAATTCGCCATGGCTCTGCAATTTAACATGGCCCAGGTGTGTAGTTGACACTGACCAAAGATGAAGCTTATACGACCAAATCCCAAGGAGGAGTTCGAAAAAGTTCGAGGCATGGAAATGGCAAAATTAGAGCCAAAATGTCACCTTCACTTCTAAATTGCGGACTTCCTGTTGGGTTTGCGTCAATGGGCCCACAGACTTTTTTGTTTGTCTTGGCATGATACACATGTGTGCCAAATTTCATACATGTAGCTCAAACGATGTGGTCGTAGGGCTGCATTTAACAAGGCATAGGTGGCGCTGTAGAGCCATTTCCCAGTGCTCATATGTAAAACCATTAAAATACAAAATTTTTCACCAGACCTGGCATGTGTGCAAAATTTCATGAGTTTTTGAGCATGTTTAGGCCCTCAAAAAGGCCCTTGTTTTGCCTGAATAATAATAATAATAATAATAATAATAATAATAATAATAATAATAATAATAATAATAATAATAATAATAATAATAAGAAGAAGAAGAAGAAGAAGAAGAAGAAGAAGAAGAAGAAACGGAGCAGATACAATAGGGCCTTCGCACTCTCAGCGCTCGGGCCCTAAAAAGCTTCAGTCTAATTGCAGCATACTTCAGAAAGATGATAGTGGGAGTTTGAACCCTTTAACGACAAACATTAATGCTTTCGAATCACTTTTTTTGTTAGTTGCACTCCCACAACCCACCAACTAAATAACATCTTGGCTACAACGCCATCAGTATGCTGCTTCTGTTAAGCTACTGGCCTTTTAAGAGCCAAACCCACATTATGTAGTATAAGGTGGTATAATTTCCAGCAAAAGAAAATTCTGGGAATGAGGAATTTGTAGGCTACATCTGTGAATAATCATAAATGTCTTGCACAGCCACTGATGTCAGCGGTTCCAACATTTAGGCAGCAATTTTGTAGTGATGACTTTATCGGCCCCAGTGCTGGTACGTTTTCAGTAAAAATGCATTTAATCAGTTCTAGATTTGGGAGCTGGCACTCAAGTATGTTCAAACAAGTGCATTCACACTAGCATTTATTAGTATCACTGCGATCAATACTGAAAGATCTCAAACAGTATTTAGCTACAACTTTACAGTCTTCTGCACTTCTACAAATGTTTGTCGTACATGTGGGGAAATACTGCTGAAACACTGCTGATATAAAGATGTTGTGAAACTGAAACACCCACTTCCGGAAAAAAAGAATTACTGTAAAAGTGTTTCAATAGCAATCTAAAGTGACCCACGTTTTACACCACTCCTGAATGCATCACTTTCCCTGCAGCGCTCACTTCCTGTGTGGCAGGTGATACGGATTAGAATAATAAAGCCCACCTCCTTTACTCATTACTGAGTTTGCAGAGATTGTGGTACCACGGTGAAAGGCCGTTAATGTGCTTAGGTTTTTCTTTGCTTCCGGTCAAATCATGAAGCTTACAGACAGCAATGTCATTCGGTTCCACCTTCAAGTCCTTTATGGGATCTCTATCAAGAGTCTTGAGAAGAAAAGGGAGAGACTGATGATCAGCGGTTCAAAGATCTTTGGTGTTCCTCTGGAAAATTTGCCCAGGTGTTACATTCCTGAATTTGGGCTTGTACCTTGGTGAGTGGGAAAGGGAAATCATTAAATGTAACTTGGGAGGAACACTTCTAAAGCTTTGCTTAATAATTTGTGTCCCAGCTTTTTGGTGGACGCTTGTTCTTTCCTTCTGGAGCGTGGTGGGACTGTGGGCCTTTTCAGAAAACCAGGCTGTCTTGCTCGTATTAAGACTCTCAGGGTAAGAGTCTCAATGTTTTTTGTTTTTTTTTTAAGTCTTAGTTCCACAATATTTTCTGGAGCAATAGTGCCATCTAGTGGTTTAAGTCACTTTACTGACCTGTCACCTACACTTCTACATTTGCAGTAGTTGCCACATGTTTATAGGGTACAAATGCAGTCAAATAAAAGTTTTACGAATCCTTCAAAAAGGATGTTTGTTGAAACTGAATGGGTGTTTCTAATGTTAATTATATCTATTAAACAGTTTAATCTGGTTATAGCTAGACAAACTACTACAACAACACTACATGCAGATATGCTCTTTTTTTTTTTTTTTGCTTTTGTTGTGTCTGGTTTAGGCCAAACTGAATCGAGGAGAGAGTTGTCTGTCCACTGCCCTCCCCTATGATGTGGCCACTCTGATCAAACAGTTTTGCAGGGAGCTGCCAGAGCCGCTGTTTCCCTCGGAGCTTCATGCAGCTATGCTCAAAGCTCAGTCTCTGCCCAACCTACAGGACAGGATGGCAGCCCTCCAGCTGCTGTCCTGTCTCCTTCCTGCAAGAAACGCCTCCTGTTTGCATTACATGTTCGACTACTTGGCAAAAGTTTCCCAGCGGTATGAAAAGATTTTTTTTTTTTTAATTAAACGTTAGCAGAAATTAGTCGCATACACAAAGTGCCGATTTAAAGTCCTTTTTGTCTAGGAAACAAGTGTTTCTGTCAAAGCTGGTTCTGCCCCAGGTTGTGTGCTTCAGATGGAAACAACATGATAGTTCAGGAGACCTGATATTGTTTTTTTTTTTTTTTCCACTGTATGTACTGCTGTCAGATGCAGCGAGAACTTGATGACCAGCTCCAACCTGGCTATAGTCTTCGCTCCATGTCTATTACCCCCACCAAACACTACAGAGATGTCTGAAGGACGGCTTGAGCTCAGAGTTCTTGTTCTGCGCACCTTCATTGAAAATCCTCATTTATTTGGTAAAAGACCAGTTATTTGGTGTTGATAAACAAATTTCAAGTGGCTTTATATGCAATGCTTTATATGCAATGTTTTAATCTGTATGACAATAGGTGTGATTCCCAAAACTGTAATCGATAGTATGGAATATCTGATGAACTTCCATTTTGTGAAAGATGTTTGCTCCAAAAGTAGAAGTAAAAAGCGGCACAGTTTCAAAGGTAAAAAGACCACAGAAGTTACTGAGCAAATCACTCCGTTCAAATTATGTTTAACCAGTTTTTACTATTTGAATTCTCGAGCTTAAATTTCTCAAACGCATGCAGGAATGCGCTCTGTAAAGACGGTGCCCTTGATTCAGGGAGGGTCAAAGCTCAGGCCACCAGAGCAGAGCCACGGGTCCACATCAGGAGACAGACCAACGCTGAGGAGAAGCCTTGGTCTGGATTCTTTCCCCAACATCCTTTTGTTCAGGACCTACATGCCTTCAGCAGGTAATTATATGGCGAAAGAATCAGACTGGAATGTGTGAGAATATTTTATTTGTGCAGTCTAATCTAAAAACCGTTTCTAGATCAAAGCTTCAGGCCTGCAGCAGCTTTGTTGGATGATGTCATTGCAGCTGAAAAAAAGTTAAACAAGATGCCACAAGATGGTCTAAAAAGGTAAACGGTAAAGGTTTATAAATTTAACATCAGTGACAAATTAGAGAGCTAAGGCTTAGAGTTGATGCTACTTGGTTTCAGCATTTGGTTTCAAGGAGCCGCTTCAAGTAAAGCAAATGTTAACTGTAGAATAAACCATGGTGCTTATCGGCTTTGGCCAAATGCGCACTGTCTGCTGTGTATTTGTTCAATGTGCCTCTGTGCTTTACATATGGATCATCATCAGGTTCACCAGAGGTGTCGATGGCTCTCCTGCAGGAAAACTAAAGCTCATGCTTTGGAGAAGACGCTCGTCACTATAATTCATGCTTGTTTCCCTAAAGTCAAGACCTCTGATCAACCAGGAGGTTGACAAGAGTGGTTTGGGGGGGAGCAAGCTATGTTTTATGATTTGTTTTAGTTGTTTTTTTTAACTGTATTTATGTAACAAGAGACTGAACAATGTATGTACGGCTTTCCCATACATTTTTCATTAAATAAAGATATATTTTTAGTCTCTCTCCTTTCCTAAAGTCAATTTTATTAAATTTTCTGTGTATTATAGCCGAACCCAGTTTTGAGGAGTCCCATTTCCTTTCTTTATTGTTAAAAAAGAAATTATTGTGAAATAAAAGAACATGGAAAACGGAGTAGCCACTACTAAATGGGGAAAAATGCATTTGGGCTCGGATTTGTAGCGTCAGTGTAGCGCTCCCGAAGAGTAAATGGCACTTTGTCATAGCCAATGGGAAAAGTGGATTTGCTGTTTCCTGGCAACTGCATCTGAACCGTGAAACGAGACTGATGCAAGGTTGTAAAATGTCCACGTATGAAGACATCAGAAATCAACTTTTCAAAACAAAACGAGACGGAAAATAAAAAATTTTCACCAAACGCTGCCCATAAACGAATAATGCGCAGAACGCTGGTGAATCAACTTGGGACAGAGTGAATTTAGACGAAAATCTGTGTTTGGCTTTTTGTTCCTCCGCGTTTGTAAAGCTTTATTTTGAAGATCCGGAAATGTGCGTTTTCTTTGTGGACGACTTGACGGAGGTCTCCCTCAGCAGGTCTCCCTCCTTAAACGCAAACAAGGTAAGGGGAAAATGCAGAAATCTGATTATTGATCCTTCGCGATTCCTTTGTAACAACAAATAAATAAAAATTATGTAATTACATGTTTATATTGGGTTTCATTATAAGTGAAGCCGTTTTTGGTTGATGGGGAGCTATTTATAGGCTTTTCACAACGGCCTTAATGGCTCTGTTTACAGAGTAAGTGGCGCATCAAAGATTTAATCATTTTACGGACTACATGATGCCTTGTTTTTGTTTGTTTTGCCCACAATGACATTCAATTCAGGCGATTTTGTCGTATTATGGATCTTTATCCACAAATAATTGCGTATATGTTTATAACAGGAAATTCATCCGTGTTTGCACACGAATAAACATCTGTGAGCTACTCTGTGTGTGTGTGTGTGTGTGTGTGTGTGTGTGTGTGTTTCTCCCTGTAGATAACGAAAATGGGCTCGGCGGTGCGGTTATCGTTACTCAGCCTCCTGCTGTGCCTACAGCTCGGCAGAGCTCCAGCCCGCAGTCCCCGTACGGCTGACCAGGTGTCTGAGGCCGACATCCAGCGCCTCCTGCACGGTGTCATGGAGCAGCTCGGCATTGCTCGGCCCAGGGTGGAGTATCCTGCACACCAGGCTACCAACATTGTTGGGCCTCAGAGCATACAGGGTATGTTATAGAGATTTATGAAGGATCTTCTAGAATATTGGAGGCAATATTCCCCACCACTTCATCTGTCTTAACTCTGTATTTTTTATTTTTTTCTTCCAATTTTCATCTTGTGGATAAAATCTAAACTTGAGAAAAACTTGAAATTTTCAGATAACCTGAAATATTGACTTATGGATGGGTAAAATGGGTAACAGATTTTCATATCCCCTTGAGACCAGAAAAATACTGAATGCTTAAACCCAACGGATATAAACATTAGGGCCATCATAGCTGGAAAAGTGGCAGGAGGGATCCTTGCAAAGCCTAAAATTAAAAGTTTGTTTTTATTTGCAGTTTTTCACCCTTTACAAATGAAGCCAAGTGGTTTAGTCCACACCATACTCTACAGCTAATTTATTCTATCAAAGTGGTAGCTAATGGACAAGAAGGAAGAAGTGGAGAGGGAGAGGACACGCACTCAGTGAGCTGTTAACAAAAAGAGAGACGAGTCTATGAATGGTTTAGCTATCAGTAGTTGTTTAAGGCAGTAAAGTGGTGTCAGATGTGACTCTGTGTCTATGAAATAACCCACCACAACTTAGCACAATTAAAAAACAATCTGCAAAACCATCAGTCTTTTCTTTCTGATGATATTAAAAGAACACTAACAAAAAATGGCCATAATATATAAGGTTAATTGTAAACTTGCTTTATGTTTATAATTGCTCACAGTTATCAGTATAATCACATTTACAGTTATTATGGTTTGCCTTGACCGCTGACCTCTGATATAGTTGAGTACTAAAAAGACTAAGAACAGTATTAGGCTGCAAGCAAGTTAAGAGGCTAATCTTGATCCTGTATGCTTCATTCTGTGTAGCAGACACTGAGCAAGATGATGCGATAAAGACTACCGTATGTTGAGAAATAAATGTTTAAAATGTGTGGAGATTTCAAACTGTGCAGACTTACAGGCACATCATAGATTTTTATTAACAATCTTATTCAGTTCAATTCAATTTTATTTATATGGTGCCAAATCACAACAACTGTTCCCTCAAGGCACTTTATTGTGTAAGGTATAGACCCTAGAATAATACAAGAGTTGATAATACAACATTATATGAACAGTTCCTTGCCTGCTATCGTGATGACAGCTCAGTTATTCATTCAAAAGCAATCAAAAATGCACGAAAGATTTGGATCATGAAAGGAAGGGGGACCACAGTTCTGTGCTGCCCCCCTGGTAAACAAAGCTATTTGGACTTGGAAGACATGTAACGCTGCATTTATGATTTTGTGGAGACTGTAGTGTCTGATTTCCCCACCAGGTGGTGCCCATGAGGGACTGCAGCATCTAGGCCCCTATGGAAACATCCCCAACATTGTGGCAGAGCTCACAGGGGACAATGTTCCCAAAGATTTCAGTGATGACCACAGCTACCCAGACCCACCAAACCCCTGTCCCCTGGGAAAGACAGGTAGGAATTCTTCCCCTGTGCAGAGTATTTTAAAAAAAACACTCATTTCTGCAGAATCAACACAGGCCTTTTAAGGGGCTAATGGAAAATGTTGCTATTAATGCTGTTTTTAAGAATATGCATAGTTTTTCCATCTTCTTTTTGGCCTTTAAGGAAGTAATGACATAAATAAGTGCATTAATCGCTTTCTGATTCACTGCTAGCCTTTTCCACAACACACATGGCTTGCCTAATGAACAGAAAAAAGTGACTCCCTCTCTGCTACCTATTTATTGCATACACAGCAGCAGATGGATGTTTGGAAAATGCTCCTGACACAGCTGAGTTCAGCAGAGAGTTTCAAAAACACCAGCACCTGTTTGACCCAGAACATGATTACCCTGCCCTGGCAAAGTGGGTGAGTACAAAACAGGACCTCAGGAATCGATTAATTTAATTATAGACTAATTACTTGGTTTATTTTGATTTATTGATTTTAATTTATTCTACTGCCCAGAGTCTCAGATTATTTGATAGCCAGAAGAAGTCCAGAACACAGAAAGATTTACCTCATAATGAAATGAAAGAGAGTAAAGCAACACAGTAGTAATACTGCATAAATAATTTTCAACAGGAGATCAAATAAATGTGCATTTGGAACACCAGAGTCATCATGATCAGGAGCAAATCACAACAACAGTTGCCTCAAGGTGCTTTATATTGTAAGGTCAAGACGGTACAACAATACAGAGAAACCCCTCGAGGTTTTCAAGCAATCATTAATTGATCGCAATCCACATCTCCACAGGCCAGGTTGGATGCATTAAAATAAAACTACCATAAAAACGAGAAGCTATTCATTTCTTTGTAAGGTGCAAACTTGCAAAATCAAATATTTTCCCAGTTTTAGTTTTGGTAGATACTGCAGACAGTTACGTTAAAATAACAAAGATTGGAAATAATGGAAAGCCCTCTTGATTGAATCATCACTTGGCAATTCTTTGTGCGCAGCTGGAATTCTCAGTCAGCTTTTCCCATATTGCTTCACATATTTGGGTGTTATTCACTATTAACCACATGGGCCACTTTAAGGTAAAGTACAGACTACAGATTGCCAACTGCATCATCTTACCTGCCAAACATGGCTCCTAATTAATTTGAGGTATTTGGACCATATTTGCTTTTTTACCATTTGAGGCTCATGTCAATTTTCCAAGGTCAGAAAAAGGCCATCAGTGTCAGCTGTTTGCTAAAAGAGGCTTATATAAGCCATTTTTTGCCATCGGAGATGGCAACATTGCAACAGTACTCATACTTGTGGATTCTGGGGTTCTGCTGCATTTCTAACCGCAGAAACAAAAAGTCAAGACTTCTGTTATTTGAAAGATCAGATAAAAGTTTCTTGTAATTAGCATGGATCCATTTCCCAGTTTGTCCTCTGATATGTCTGGTCTGAGGAAGTTACCCACTGAGAACACTGTTTTTATTCCCTAAAAGGAGCATTCAAACAATTTGTTGAGCGTAACAAATGAATACATGATTTTAGATCTGAAATCTGCTTTTTTATTCTTTTGTTTTCAGAACAAGGAACTTTTGTACCAAAAACTGAAGGGTGGACCAAAGAGAAGAAAACGGGTATACTATTTCTTGGTTGTCTTTTTGCTTTTCCTGTGTGGGATTGTGTCTGAGAAATCACAAAACTGAGCACTCTGCACTGAGTTTAACCCCTGGTGGGAGTTAAGCCAAGAGTCACACTTTGAATTTCTGTTGAATTTAATCAGATGCATGCAACTTATAGACATGTTTATAAGTTTGTGTACAAACAGTTTTATGCTTGTGTCCACAGAGTGTCAACCCATATTTATTGGGCCAGAGGTTGGACAATGTCGTTGCCAAAAAATCAGTTCCTCACTTCTCAGAGGAAGAGGAGGAAGACGGACCTTCTGTCCCCGCTGCCAGCAAATCCACAACCTAAACTCCTGCAATACCCACTGCAATATTACAACATACTGTCAGATAAAAGGTTTTAATAATTTAAGCATTTTGGTTAACAGTCAGTGGGTCTTTGTGTGTGTTTTGTAAATGCTTTGTTTGATTGTATTGCAAAAACATGGGATCTGTCAAGTTGTCTTTTGGTTTTAAAAAAAATTTTATTTCTTGATCTCAGAGCTTTGCAAACAGCAATTACAATGGACCTTGTTCTTTTCTTTTTTTAAAGATTGAAAAGCTATTTTTGGTTGGTAGTTTGAAATCTTGCCTTGGCAATAAAATAGGTTTTCCCTGAAACAACTCTGTCTCTTAGCAGAAATACTCACAAGTGAGATATAGGAATGAAAAAAGATCAGCCTGCCATGATATCTGTCATACTGTATTTATTAAAACACTGAAGATCTGGGCTCTTTATAGGGGGAAAAGGAGATCTCAGTTCATTTATACCAACTGTTTGCTTCTTTTCTTATTTTTAAGAGATGTAACACACTACCACATTGCCAGAGAATTAACCCTAAATCAACCCCAAAATAATAGAATATATGCTGGTAAATACTGATCTGACAGTGTACAGTATATCTATCCCTCTATCATAACAATACTTTGTATAAATATATATTGATCTGAACGAATGTTATATCAAAGTTTTTCTTGGATGTACAGAGATTGGTTTATTAATACAAATTCATTTTGTATGTGACGAATTACTTTGGTGTCTTGTGTAAGAAGTGTATTTCTATTTCCAATCAAATACTTGCCAGTAACTCTGGTAAAAGTCTTACTTTGCCATTCAAAGGATGATGGTGCAATACTTCACTATAGCATGTTCAGTATTTATTCACTGGGTTGCTTCATCTTGTCTAAATGGTTGTGTTCTGTTAAATCAAATAAACGGTTTATCTGCATCAACAAAGTTTGGAAGAGGATTTTGATTTGCATTCACAGACAGGCAGGATGGAGAGGATATGGGTTTGGGGGCGTGTTCTGGAGAAACTCAAAATTGGATATCTCCTCACTGTGTAATCCATAAAACCACAACTAAGGACGGCGGACCTCTAGAAGACACGCATGCTGACTGGATAATTGTTTTCACGCTAGGAGTTTAAAAAAAAAAAAACCAAAAAAAACAGGTAACTCCACTTAACAGATATTGGTTCTGAAATGTGTATAATATATATATAACTTGTGTATAAAATTATCCACTGCTTGCTTCTATGGTGCTTTATGTGTGCGTAAAAGTTGTGCGTAAATTCCTTTCCATCGAGGACTTAACTTTTGTTCCGTTTTCCTTTCAGGTTCAACGATGCAGACACATTCAGTGCAGAGCTTTGCAGTCGTTTTGGCACTGCTACTCACCCCGCTGAAGAGTACGAAAGCTCAGAGCTTTCAAAGCGCGTTTCCACAGCCAAACAAACACAGCCCGAATGAATCGTCGACGTGTGTACAGCCCCCTCTTATTGGATTAATTTCTCGCGCGACGGGGCCAGTAACCTCAACATACGAAGTGCCGGAGTCCAGCCAGGAAGCGCTGCACGTCACTGAGCGTAGATACCTGCGGCTGGACTGGTGTAAGACACAGCCGCTCAAGCAGACCATAGAGGAGGAGGGCTGCCTTCGCCGCACCATCATTAACAGGTTTTGCTACGGACAGTGCAACTCCTTTTACATCCCGCGGAACAAGTACCAGGACGGAAACGCCTTTCGCTCCTGTTCGGCCTGCAAACCCAAAGCCTTCAGCACCGTCACATACACCCTCCTCTGTCCGGGACAGACGCCCAGCACTAAGAGGAAACGAGTCCAGCGCGTAAAGCTGTGCCGCTGCACTACTATCGATATGGATTAGCCATAAACTAAAACATGCTGGCCAGTAATATTGTCTTCTGTGAAAAATATAGAAGGGAGAGTCTATTTTGCTTAAAAGGCGCATAAGTTGGAATAGAAAAGTGAGGAACATGCTTGAGCCTTTTTGGGGGGAGAGACAGTTGACCACTAAATCTGCTAAAAGACAGTACACACTGCTAAGTGGGAGATTCATGTGTCACGTTCTGTATAAGGTGATAATTTGACCTGCAAATACAACTTTACCACACAATGACCAAACATCTGCCAATTATCAGTCGCTGCTTGAAGTTTTGTGAGTGTAAACAGACTTGGATGTGTTGGCACATGCATTTGCAGACAGGAAGTTTTAGGCCAATGCGAACCGTTGAGGTGCAGGCTGGTTTGCGGCAGTCCAGTGACAAAATTTGTCCAAACAAAAAACCCAACAAGCTAATGGATGTGCAAAAATATAAGATGACTTCAGAGGTTGCATTGTTTCCACTGTGTGGGACATGGAGCTGAAGGTTTTAGAGACATACACTTTTATACATGCACTGCTAAAAGCCACTTGATTTCATGGCTGCGCATAATTTGTGTATCATTCATTGTAATGGCACTTGTAAATAAAACTGCATTCAAGCTATTGCATCACAGTTTTCTATGAGCAATGATTTTATTTGTGGAAAAATATTGTAAAAGATTTGATTTTACATTTTAGATTTGATGCAAAAATGTATCCGTCTATACACAGTTGAAGCTGTTACTTATGTCTAAATATTGCACAGAAGATTTTTTTTAATATTTAAAACTTAAATATATGTTAGATGACAAGTTTTAATATGGTTATAATATAAATCTTCCACTTAACAAATACAAGTAAATACAAGTAAATAAATAAACTACATTTTTCAAGGACCATGCATGTTTGGTACCCTTGCTCACATCCTGTTGGATCCAGCTTTGTGAGGACATAATCCGGTGGTTAGAATGATTTGGATATGAACAATTTTTTTTGGTTTCTTTAAGTTGAAGATATGCTGGCTTCTTTCTGACGCAGTCGCTCTTTCTGTTGGGAGCAAATTTAGACTGGACTGAGAAAAGAAGACATTTCCAAAAAGATTTTCTATTAAGTCGATAAAAGCAGCAATGCTAAAAAAGTAACTTTGCAAGAGAATTCCTGAGTTGGTATGAGTTGATCTGTTTTTCACATTTAAGGCCTAATTCCACAAATGTCATCTAAGGCAAATCTTTTTGCTTCCTCAGTAAATCAACTGATTCCAGTCTTACCAGGCTGCTGGGGTTGGTCTTTCTCGTCTCCACCTTCTTCTCTCCGGTAATCCTCTTCACTGACTGCTGAGCCTCTTTTAACCTGCAAGTGAAGCATTTAGTAAATGAAAACACTCCAGAGAACCACAATGAGGCCAAGCTATTCTATATATATGCAGCAAAACGTAAAGTAGAGAAATAGAAATGTGCAAAATACTCTTTAAGCCAGCAGTTACAGATGCACCTATACGTTGGATAAACACTGATGCCAGCTAATATATAAACAATATCACCTTTACTGATGTCACTGAGAGATATTTGCCTTTTGTGTCAGATTAATGTTGGATTGGTTAAATGTTAAAAAAGACTAATAAAGAGCTAAAAGGATTCATAACAGTTTTCTAATATCAGATATAATTGTTATGTTTCATTCTTATGTTGCAATAATTAAGTGAAGACAAACACATTGTTTTCCCACACAGGGCATCGGTAAGGTCTTTATTAGAGGATTATATTTCTTTAGTTTTTAATTTAGTGATTCCCCTTGATGTGGTTTTTGTGAAACTGTTTACAAAGGGTGACACACACACACACACACACACACACACACACACACACACACACACACACACCTCTATTACTTACCTCTCTTTAGAGATATTCTTGTTCTCCCTTTTCCACCTGGTCTTGAAGTCAGCAGAAAACTCAAACCAGAGCATGAAGAAATAGCCAGCTGTCACCTCCGTCTCCCCCGTCTTAGGCTTTAGCCCAAAGTACAGGATCAAGTCCTCGAAACTGAAAACAAGTATTTAAAAAAATCAAGATCAAAATTTAATTTTATCTTAGTGTTTGTGTCTCCTCTCATCTAAAAACATAACCCAGGTCCTCTGCTTTGTCCTCCTCAGCACTTTGTTTCAGTTGATCACTGTAATACATGTTATTACACTTCTATAACTTTAACAGACTTTTACCATTTAGTTGGTATGATGTTTGGCCTGTTACTACGAAAATATTTATAGACATGAAAAAAAGACAAAAAGGGGTATGATAACAAAGAGTCACAACGTAGCTAAAAGAAATGGAAAACAACGGGAATAACTAAAAAGGCAAAAAAAAAGAGTTGCAAGATAATAAAAAGAAAAAAAGGGAGGGAAAATGGGAAAGTGATAAAAATAGACACAATATTATGAATGGATGAACTGCAAATAGCTCTAGGAGCCAAATTCAGATAGAGACCTGCATGCTGCACATGAATGAACAACTTAATTTTCCTACCTTTTTCGTACAGTCATCATCTGATAAGAAGCTTCAGCGTGCTCTTTTCGTGCTGTTAAAAAGTGTGCCGGTAAAAAGTTTAGTTTTTGCAAGACTTTCCAAAAAAAAAAACAAAAAACAGATTAATTTTAAACTTTATGGAAAGTCTGCGAATCTAATTATTCATAGTTACACAATAAGATCCTCTTGTATGATGATGACCTTGTCTAATGGAGCCAGACAACCATTTGGTCTTAAAACACCAATTATGCAGTCAATGGAGCCATTCTTGCTATTATGCCATTATGTCAAATAACAGGTAGGCTACTTGTTATCTGTGTCTGTCTCTCTGTAATGTTTTGGTAGTCTCCTTCAGACCCAGAACAATAAAAAAAAAATCAATTTTAAAAAGCTACAGAAATTACCCACTAATGAAATTTGTAAATAAAGACACACCCTCTCATAAAACCCCAATTCCAGTTCTTGTTTGAAGACTTTTTTTAAAGTCTTGTGGTTTAATTCACATCTATATTTATCTAAGAGGAAGAGAATGCAGGAGGATAAACTTCAAATCTTAGAACAAAAGATAAAGTCTTGGAAAAAGATCCTGCATGCAGTCCAATTGTCTGGTGTAGTTTTAGAACAAATAAAACAAATGGGAGACAATAGACAAAAGATGATGATCTGAATAGGCGGCTCTCTTAAAGACACTGATTTTGAAGCTTGATTGTGATACCTTTGTTACTGGGTGGAGAGGAAAAAAGATGACGCTCACAAGAAGAATTATTAAGTATTCACTGAATACTCAAACGTGAAATGGATCACTATAAACATTTTACGCAACATGGAATTCCTCAGCTCGTAAGAGTTAACTTTTTTTGCAGTGAAAGAGCTCCATAGAAGGCCCAGTGCCTGTGTGTCTCAGCCATTGCCAAATCTGTCTGATCCCTATCTGAGTGTCTAGGCTGTACTCTGAATTCATTCTGTCTCCCTCACATACAAATACCAAAGACACTCCATTGGTAATTTTCAGGCTACTAAAGACACAAAGACTACATTTATAAGAGGCAAGGAAAGACATGTCTTGATTGAATGACAAATTACTTTAAAAAAAGAAAAGAATCAACAGCAAACAGAAAACAGGTACAAAGATATCTCTTTGAAGCAATGACTCTTGCTTTTCTATGAGGGCTGGGGGGACTTTTACATGTCTGTCGACAGTATGGCTATCTAATAATCTGCTCATGAGTAGGGGTTATGGGGAAATAATTGAGGATAATTAAGAATGTGAAGAAGAGCAGTCAGTTTTTTAAGTGCAAGCAGGCAATTACATGTTAATTGCAGTAGAAGCTGCACGGAGCTTGGAGGATATTCAAAACAACAAAAATCTGTCTTTCAAAAGATTTTAACGCTTTTAAAACTGAGCTCATAATGTCAAATATTCAGCGTGTATGTGACCGTACTTCTCAATCATATTTCAAAAGATGTGCGCAACATTTAATTTCCTTGCTGGAATAATCATTACAAAAAATGTCATGGGAAACAAAAACTAAGTAGACTCCATAATTCAAT